TTTTTTATTATAGTAACAGAATATTTACTGGAAAACAGGTAGACTCTTTCTTCCCCCTCCCCTTTTTTTTCCTTCTGTGTGTTCGTGTGGGCTGTAGCAAAATGGGTTCCTGTCTTGTGAAGTGACAAGTGCTTTTTCCTTTCTTTATGTGACTGTACAACTGTGGAGTCTTAATGCAGGTGAAGTAAAAAGGGATGTAAAACTAGAACCTCCTTTGAAAGACATGTAGTTATTCACTAATAGTCTCTGAATCTTGGCAGTAGGTAAACTAATCCTGTTTGTTAACAATGTTTTGAACAGTTTAACTGTTTAGGCTGTGGAGAGGGTGGAGAAATAACAAACTGATGCTTAAGTTTGGAGTTTATGAAGCTGTTTGTAAACAAATGCCTTGAAGTGCTCAGTTTTGAGGAACCAGCCAAGAATGACAACATTGTGCAGGTTTCTCTACACCAGGAGACCTTAGTTAACCTGGAGAAGTTAACACCTAGACAAGTAAGACAAGGGAAGGATGAAATAGGTTGGGGTTAAATTTCTTTTATTGAAGGAGACATGATTTGATTAGTTCTGTGGCTAAGTACAGATCCTCAGAAGTCTAAATCAAAACAGCTTTACAGAAACTACTGTTGCTTGATTTGTAGATCTTGCTGTGCTTCATGTGGCCATTCCGTCTGCTGGTGTGACCTTCATTTCTTCATCTGAAAAGCATCTTTCACTGGCAGCACAAAGCTCCTATTGTGCATATGGCTTTGTGTAACCTATTGTAAAAGAAATAGAGTTGCCAAGTCAATGGCTTAATCCTTATCTTTCAAAGCAGATGAAGCAGGTAATTGCTTCTAATTTGTTGAAGATGAAAGACTACATAAAAAAGCTTATGCTCTGACCTCACCTCTGTCTTTATTTCAAAGCAGGGTGAACTAACTAGAAATGTCCTCTCCCACACAAATTTTTTTGTGTGTGTCTTAGGACACCATACCAGGTTTAACACAATACCTTTAAACAAAGAGTAAAATGACAGCTTGAAGTTAAACAGATTGACTGACTCCCATTGACTGGATCACTTCTCTTCCTGTTGGAGGAGGGTAAATTTTGTTGTTGGGTACAGTTTGTTTTCCAGCGAGTAAACAGCACTATGGGAGAGGAGGGAATGCTTATCACAGAATCAAGTGACTTATATGTTCACTTACTCAGAGCAGACTTTTCAGCAGATACCTTAAGACTCCTGGCCTTAACTTTACGTTCCTTCAAACTGAAGGGAAGTGAATAATGCTTTAAAAGCAGCTGCAGTCATCACAACTTCTTCTAGACACTGCTGCATTTTCCAGAGGTAGTTGGATTTCTTAAAACTTCCTTTTCTGTAAGGAACAGATGAGTTAAAAGTCAGTGTCTTGACTGCCTCATGGGTACTTAATCTACAGAATGGGATGAAAATTCATCCTTGCCTGCTCTGAGGTGACTGAGGAGACAGCTTCCACTTGTTATGTTAATTTTTTTTTAATTTATTTTTTTTTTAGCCTCAAGGAACTGTTAGGTGTGATCTTTGAACCATGGTGTGCAAACTGTTTCCTGGGCTGCAAAGGTGAAATGCAAGTAAACAGTTGCCTCCACTGAATTCTCTTGTTGCTTTGTTAGAGTATTCCTATGAAAATTTCACTGTGCCCCTTTCTAAACTAGTGATGTGTTATTAGCCTGTTTAGAGAACACTGGTACTTTGCACTGATACTGCCTGTATGAATCCCGTGTCACACTGCTTCAGCCTCGCCTTGCTCTGTACTGCCTGGCTGTTCGGGGGCTGGAGGGGGCCATGTTCACTCTGTTTTCATCAAAGAGAAGTGTTGTGTCAAGCTTGTGGGATTTCACTGAAGGCACACAATGTAGGTGTTGTGAGCAGAATCCTGCATTCTCAGGGTTTATGTAGTGTTGATACTCTGAGAGATACAAGTGGCACTTGTGACAGCGCTGCAGGAAAGTACCTTGGCCATTAAAAGCTGGGCTAGCTTATAGATGCAATTAAACTGTAAATTTATATGCTATTTGATTAATATTATACTTTGGTGATAAGTCAGGTAATACCATAAGGCTGACCTTGCAGTTTCTGCTGGCCAGTGTTGAAAGGGGATGGAGAAGGAAGAATTTAAATATTCTTTCCGCTTATATCTGATAAATTGGTCAGTATTTTACAGAAAAGGCAGATATTCCTTTAATATGACCAAGTAAAGATGTATCTGTATTGACAGGAGAAATCAAGTTGCTACCTTCTCTCTTGGCTGTTAGTAAATAATCTTTTTATTGCAGTTGCATAGCACAGTGGACTTAGTGCTGCTACCTAATAAGTGGCCCTAAGTTTGTGTTGCCAGAAAAATGTTTAACTTGAAAGCTTTGTGTTAGATAACACAGCAGTAACAACTACTTTAAAATGCTTGCTAAAGAAATACTCCAAGGTTAAAACCAGTCATAATTATGCAGAAAAGTTGCAAAGTGTCACTTGGCTTCTCCAGAAAGCAGCTTATCTGCTACTTAAAGCCGGACTGCTCTTGAACTAGGAAAAAATGAATTCCTCTACATCTTATTAAGAATGAGCTATTTTATTACTGGAACACTTAAAATCCCCAAACTGTCTTACTCTGTAGTGCATCTGTAGCTCGTTTGCCTTTGGTGTCCGTGTCCAAGCAAGGTGAATTCTAGTTTATCTTGTGTAGAGTGTGTGGACCACAAGCAAAACAAGCCTTTCAGCAACAGGTTCTGGAGCTCAGGTGATAGCTGCTGTGTTTTCTCCCAGGTTTTCCACACCCTTCTGGCAGGGAGCTCAGTTCTGTCTCCTTCCCCCCTGCACTCTGGGGACTAAGAACTAAACATTAAACTTGCAGTCTTCCGGTTTGGAATCTCTGGGGTTGTTGCTGAATTCACTGTACCCAACACAAATGTGTGCTTGTACTGTACTGGGAGAGTCTCTGAGAAGTAGAAGTTGTCACATCCTGTTTCTGTACTAAGAGTGTCCTAGCTGAGGGAGCTGATGCATAGAAGATTACCAAAGGAAAATATCTGTCTTCATTTATCCATGTTTATGCCACAATGAACACTTAAAGATTATTAATTTGCATTACTGTACTAAATGTGTGTAGCAAACAGGTGTGAGTAAAATACTCTGCATGGAAAAATCCTACTGCTCAGATGTTTGAAAATGCTGTCCTGAGGGCACTTCTTGATTGTTGGCGTGTTGGTTCTTGTATGCAGTAGTCAATGATAACTTGATTTGTTGCTTTTCAGAACTTCAAGTCATGACAAGAGGGAAGAAAAATCTTCACCATCAGTGTATACTAGACTAGGTTACCCAAACTGGTCATGGAACTGTCAAGCTCAAAATGCAGGGCACACAAGGTAGTTTACTCCAAGCAGTCCATTTTAAGGGAGGTATTTGGACTGGACAACATCCAAAGGTCCTTTCCAGGCTAAATAACCCTATGCTGTGTTTGCAGGTTGAGAATAATTTAGTCCCTAGTTAACTAGCTGCCCTAAACAAAATTATTGCCAAACTTTTTCCAATATAATACTCTAACTTCTGTTAGTAAGCTTTGTATTTCCATCTAGTAGAACCTGATGGTGTGGTATGGCAGTTCCATTGTCTTTCTACAGTAATCATGCCCAGGCAAATTCAAGACTCCTGATAGGCCTGTTGCTTCTATGCTTGTGGAATGATGTGTGCCACTGTAAATCAAGGCTGGCATAGCTGCTTTCCATAGTGATGTTTTGTGAAAAGTTTGCTGTTCTCCTTAGAGCACTCTGCCAGGGTAGGGACAGCTGGGAGCCTTAGTTGTTGTGCTGTGAGAACAAGAGTGTTGCTGTCCTAGCATCTCCCTTATAGCCATCATGTGCCTGGAATACCCATGCTTGGGGTTTTGGTTTGTTGTGTTTTGTTGGGTTTTTGTTTTTGTTTTTTTCCCCCCCTATGTGGGAATCCTGACTGGTGACGTATCTTTTTGTAGCTGTGCTGCTCTTAAAGCTGGTGCTCTGTGCTCATCAGAGTGTGGCAGCTGATGCTTGTCTTCATCATAAGTACTGTGCACAGCTACTCTTAAAAAATAAAAAAAAAATAAAAAGGCAGTATTATTTTTAAGAAGTCTCCAGCACTTAATTACTCAGTTTGCATAGCACACAAAGAGGCTTGTTAACTAGTACTTGTTTATTGAAGCTTTCTCATATGGCTTTGCAACATCTGGAGAAGAATAGAAACTGAGAATTTCTTACAGTAAAGCAAGTGTGTGTTTGTAGTGGGTGTTTTTTGTTTTGTTGTTGTCTTTTGTTTTCAAAAAGCAAATTAGAGATTTGCAGTGTCAAAAGGCAGGAAGGGTATAAGATAAATGCTAATGCTGTATCATAAGACTTTCTGCTGGAAGCTTTTGCAACTTGTTCCTGCCAGAATTTACTGTGTATCTTTGCTTTTTTCTTAGCCTATTTAAAGAGGAGATCAAAAGTCATCTTTCTACCTGTTAGCAGATCTAAGGTATACCTCTGCTTCCAGGTTGAAAGTAAGTTGCATCAACATTAAAGAAATATTTTAGAAAGATGTAAAGCCTCATAACAAGAACAATGAAAACCACTTGATTTCATTCTGTTTGAGAAGTGTTTGGTGGTTGTTTCCTTTGAAAACTGCTCTAGATAGCAGTCATGTAGGATGGATTTATAAAAAAGAACAACTTGTTCAGCTAGCAGCTGTTTTGAGAAACCTTTGGCACTTTTAATAATGGTACAAATACAAATACAAATACAAATAATGTTGCAAATACAAGGTATTTGTTGTAATACCTTGTTCCTACTCATACTTTACACAGCAGTGACATGTTTTGCTTGCCCATGTATTCAAATGGCCCATGCTTCAGGCTTGCTGGGCAGGGTTTTAGTCTAGTCTTTCAGCATTAGTGAGATGCTTTACCTGAATGCTGCTGTGATGTTACCAATGTCGTGGATGATGACTGCGTTTCTTCTGTCTGCAGATCCAGTTGGTTGCCTGGCACTTCATCTGTGGCACGCAGGACAATGGCTGCCAGCAAGAGCAAGAACCAGAGTTCCTTGGCCCTCCATAAAGTAATTATGGTTGGCAGTGGAGGTGTGGGCAAATCTGCACTTACTCTTCAATTCATGTACGATGAGGTAAGTAGCTTTGATTCAGCTTCGCTAAAGTACCAGTGGGTTTAGCGTACTTTTTTTGTGGGACGAGGAAATAAATGTAAGTAGCAAAAGACCTGATGACCTAACTGCCAGGAGAATGTAGGAATCTTGGAAAGGTGCTCTCTGGAAACATTTTTGGCTAAGAGTGACAGAATTGATGCTTATTAGTGAAAGAACAGTCTTTGAAAGACAATACGTAATGTGCATCTGCTTTTCTGAGTGTACAGTGGCTGTTACCCATTGGCATTGAACTTTCTGTTGCCATTTCTGTTTAGGTAGGTTAAGGCTGAGGTCAGAAGTAAGTATTTGAGCTCATTCCAAGCCAGATGATGAAGTAGTCATATTTATAGCATGAATTCTTCTGTACTGGTATACAGGAAGCTAAGTCAGACAGTCCAGACTAGTGTGTGAATGATCCTATAGTTCAGAAGTTGGTATTTATCTATAGGCTGTCCACACATCCTATAGCAATGTGAATATCTGAACTGATGACGCTGTCATTAATGAAAGCCAGCCAGCCTAACTAGGCTCGTGGCACAGCCTTTTGTACTTCAAGTCTGAGCAGAGGGAGGTTGAAAGTTCAAGATACTTGTACCTGAAGTACACTTGAATGCTTTGCCTTGAAATGGGAGATCTGGATAATGCCACCAGGTTGCTAGAAGATTATACTGTATGTATGTTGCTTAATTTGTGCTGAAATTGCTGAACAGTGTTTCATATAACAAGACAGTTTCTCTCAATTAGGCAGACTGGCTCTTTGATGTATTAAGTGCTTAAATAATTTGCTTTTTATAGCAAAACTAAAGAAAAGTGGTGGAACTTAGTAGCTATCTGAATTATGAGAAGGTTTTCAGGAGTTCAAATGTCACTGAAGTGGAAGAGAATGGATATGGACAAATACTGAGACCCTTTGACAGTAGTCCTGAACACTAATTCCTCTATCTTCAGTTTGTAGAAGACTATGAACCTACCAAGGCTGACAGCTACAGAAAGAAAGTAGTTCTGGATGGTGAAGAAGTTCAGATAGACATTCTGGACACAGCAGGACAGGAGGATTATGCAGCTATCAGAGATAACTATTTCCGCAGTGGGGAAGGGTTTCTTCTGGTCTTCTCAATAACAGAGCATGAATCCTTCACAGCAACAGCAGAATTTCGGTAAGTAGTTTCTCTCCCAGGCAGAGTGAAATACCTGGTTCCTATGTTGGTCTCACAAGTCTTCTTAAAACCTACAGCTCTTTTTTCTTTGACTGTTACCATTTGGTCAATGAAAATGCTAACCCAACTGTTTTGCTCTCAGTAACTGGTAGCTTAAACCATGATATTCAGCTTCTGGCTCTGGTTGACTGCATGTCTGCAACTTATGAGTACGTGACGCCAGCAGCAACTTCAGGCAAATAACAGATTCTTGGATTTGTAAAACATGCATATTCAAGCCAATTTTCAGTCTTTGTGGATGTGAAGTTTAATTATCTTCGAGCAGTACTTCTGGAATTAAGTCTGCCTTTTGGCCAGGTTTCAGACACTCTATTGCTTGCTGCTAGAAGCAGGTGCTCTAAGGAAAGGAAGGATTAGTCTCCACTCTCAGGTGTGGATTGGTGCCAAACAAGGGTTGGCAGCCAAGCAGTACTATTGTAGGCAGGCGTATTCCTAGAGAGACACACAGTAGTAGTAAATGCTTCCATTTTTGTTCTTGGGATTAGCAGTTCTGGTGTAAAAATCAGCACCAGACTGAGCACAGAAACCACTTGTGTAGCATAAAAGAAAAAACGAGGGATTTAAACCGTTGTTCTGGGCTCAGAACTCATATAGTCAGGTTCTTGAGGGCAAATGTTCTGACTCTTCCTTGATAATAGCTGTTGCCTGAGTGCAGAAGGTAATCCAGAGGTTCCTTAGGACAACTGTACAATTTCAGGTAAGACTTGACAAAACACGGGGCAAGTATTAAGAGTTCCTTATGTTTGCCAGAATGAAAGCTCTTTATCGGTCTGGCTTATGTTCACTTTGCTTCAGGGGTACAAGCCTAACAGGTACTAACTGTTAATGCTAAATGCTAGTGCTCAGGTAGACACCTATTTCTAAGCTTTTCTTAAAGCTATGGCAAATTCCTCTCACACTCTAGGAATTTGGTCCCAGTTTTCAGTATGTTCCTACAGTAGTAGGCAACTATATAGTCTTTTAAGAGGTATAAAAATATTGTTCTTTTGTCCCATAATGCCTCTGTAACTTTGTTAGAATTCAGAAGGCTGACAGTTGTGGGACACACAAGCAGAGCTCTTCTGCTCAGTTTGCTCTAACTCGAGCGCTAAGAGGACCTGAACAGTTAAACTGTTGTAGGACTGCAAAACTGAGTGCTTGGACTGTTTGTATTGTAAGGTGGAGGAAAATGTCTGATATCGTTCAAAAAACAAAGCAAATTAGACACTTGGAAGTACCTAGCCTGAGTTTTGGCTTGTGTGCTTAAGTGAAATATGAGGTTAAACTCAAGGCTTAAGGCTTTAGATGAAAAGGACTAGAAGTGTTTATAGTGGCAGTTTGTGAGGTTTGAGGATTTTGGTTTTTTTTTTGTCAGACTCCTGTAACTAGGTTAACTGTGTGTTGGTTCAAGATTCCAGCACAACAAAACAATGAAAAACCAATGCTAGTCTTGAAGATGAGCAAGAAGGACCTAAAAGCTTTGAGATTCGAGAATCTCCTGGGTTTTAATGTTTCAGAAGTAAATCAAAGTGAAATTAGTTAAATGGACTGTTTAGTTAGGCTAGCATGCAAGAACCAGCTCCTTGGAAAACTCTTCTCCAGGAAGGAGTTGAGGAGTGGGTGGTGTGAATCACCAGCATTGTGGGCTAAGCTGCAGATTGGTGTCACCAATCCTCTAACTTCCATAATTCTTAAACTATGGAAAAGTTTAATACTGAATGAACTATGGGCTTATCTCTAAACCCTAGCTCTCCTGCTGAAGCTGTGCTTTCAGGGGTTGCTTGCACTGCCTCTGTAATCTGAAAATGTGTGAAGGTGCAGTTGAATGCAGCAGCAGATTGTCTGCTTCAGTGTTAACACTATTTTAGAGACTACGTTCATTTACTTTGTGGATGGAAAGTGCAAGCATCTAAAGTAGTGTGGTAACTCAGTGGGATGAGGGGGTGTAGCACCATGCTTATGCCTGGTTTGGCTCTTGTTCATAACAAAATCAAGCAATCTAAAAATAACTGTAGACTGGTATAGTTCTTCCAGCATTGTAGATGGACAGCAGCATGTGTCAGTCTGGTTTGAACTTGTGTTTTACTCCAGTAATAGCACAGAGTTTGAGACTGATAGGCAGCCATCGTTCTGTCTCCTTGAAGGCTGATAGATCCTTTTAGAATGGCCAAGAATAGCTGGGTTAATGCTGATGGTACAAGTATTTTCGTGGAGTCTTTGAAAGAGGAAGGATGCTAGCATTTCAGTTCAGCACTACTTAGGGCTCTCTCATTTGTGTAAAGTTTAGGTAGCCATTAAAAATGCTGTTCCCAACCTACCACCTTGGCAAAGCCTCGATGTTGCCCAGACTTATAGAGGTGAGATGTAGACTGGAAATTGAAAATGGTGCCTGAATGTGAAGGTGAAACTTGGCAAACTTGTGCTCTTTCCTCGTTCAGATGTGAGCTTCTGTTGTGAGTTGAGTTGCTCTTCTGCCATACAGTTGTTTGGATTTTTTGTTTGTTTGTTTTTATTAGAGCTTGGTTAATAAACATACTGACTAAATGGTAAAACTGTATTCTTGAAAATGTGAGGCTTTTATTAGTGTAAAGCCCATGACATGAGTATGTTCAACTTGGAAGAGTGTGTTCAGCTGTCGTGAAGTGTACTGTAACAAGCACTAATAATCTGCAGACCACTTGATCCACTCCTAAGGGTGGGGGTTTTGTTGCTACTATTAACACAGATATTTTTATTTTGAATATCTGATGCATTAGGGAACAGATTCTGCGTGTGAAGGCTGAAGAGGATAAAATCCCTTTACTGGTAGTGGGAAACAAATCTGACTTGGAAGAGCGCAGACAAGTGCCTGTAGAAGAGGCCAGAAGTAAAGCAGAGGAGTGGGGTGTGCAGTACGTAGAAACCTCTGCCAAAACTAGAGCGAATGTAGATAAGGTAAGGCAAATGACATCTGCTCAGTTAGATTGTTACTACTTGCTTAGTAGCTGAGGGACTAATTCTTTGCTCCTGCTGGGACAAAAGCAAATCCACAGTTGAGCTTCTGAAAGCCCAGATTATAAAAAATGAGTGAACTTACTGTGAAGTCTACACTGAAGCAAATACCTAGCTTAGTGGAGCCAGAGACCTGGTACAAGTTAATGCTATGGTCTTGTTTTAACTATTTATACCTGAACCAATAGCTTTCTAATAATACCTTGAGTAAATGGGTTTAAACATTCCCTGAAGTATGTTGTTTTGTTTATAGGCTGTGTTCTGTTGTTATAACAGCAATAAATAGCAAGCTATAGACACTTAGGAATTGTGGCCCCAATCCTACAAAGCTACATATGGTGTGGCTAATCTTAGAACATTTCATTCTTGTTTTTTGCCAATGCTACTCTGAATTGTGAGAAGAACTCTTCTTCCTATGTCTGTCCTGTTTTGGCTTGGCCGTGCGGGTCTAGGACAGGCATTCTCAGCATATTTCTGCTGCTGGCTTCACCACAGTGGTGGTGGCGGGTTATGCTGGAAGAGAGATGAACTATGACTCTGGAGCGTTTGCCCAATAATAGAGAAAAATCAGTTTCAGCACTACATTCTGTGTGGTGAGGTTTCTTGAAGAAGCAGGTACCTTCTTTACTTCATCAGTCCATAGAGGATGATCTCATATAACTGTTAGACCCCCCTAAGGACTCCAAAGTTGTGGCTTGGTAATTTGCTTTTGTTTAAAGATAACAAATTGTACAAAATTTCTTTTGGAAAAAGAACATTTTTCAGCTAGCTGTATTCTTAAGTTCTTCTAAACATCTTCCTGTTCTTGTGGTCTTTACTAGTTTACTAATGAAAATGCTGTTGATGCCAAAGGCACCTAGTAGGAACTCTTTCATTATTGATTAAAACAGTGTGTGTGAAACTCTGTTATTAGACCTTTTGATAATAAAGCATAACTTAAATTTGATAAAGAACCATTTCTGACTTATGGAATGTTACTAGAAAGTCACTGTCAGATGCATAACCTGGGTGATGTGGTAAGACATGAATACCTAAGCTTGCTTTTTACCTATGAGCTGTTTCATGTGACTAGCAAATGCCTAGCCTGTTTTTCACTTAGACTAGACTTCTGATCGCTTGGGGTTATCAAGAGCAATGTAGCTGTGTGTCTGAAGTGGAATAGCATGGTGTTCAGACCTGATGTCATACGTCTTCTGTAGCTGGCTTGTGACGTACTGGTTATCCTCTATATAAGCACTTTTGTGTATGTTATTGGCCGTTGTGATGATTGTACATTGACACCACAGCAGAATTTTTAAAAGCACCTTGATTAGAGGGTTTTGAATGATTATCTGTTATATTTCTGATCAGTAGTATGGTCTGCCCAAGTACCAGACTTGTGTAATTCTCTGTGGAAAAAAAAAAAAGCTTATCTCTACTGAGCAACACTAAGCTCTTGTTCTGTAATTCTAAAAATAATTTTCCCCAATTACTCTCTGCAGTAAAACAACTGTTAAGTGGTGTGTACCTAGACATCAGGTTTACAGAGGTGAAATTGCTAGAATTCTGAAAAAAAAAATTAAAAATCCAGAGTAATGACTGTCTCTGAATATTTCCTATACTTAAAAAATTTTTTTTGTGCCTGACACTGTCACTTAAATGCTGCAGCGTTTTAATTATAGAACAGGCAGAACACCACTGAGCAGAATGTGCTTGTAACTACATAGAAAGGACTGGACTAAGTGCTTTGCATAGTTAATAAGAGTGATTTGCCTGGAAATGTTTGCTAGGCACAGACAACTATTATCATGAACTCTGAATGCTACTTTTGTGCAAGACTGATATTCAGTAAAAAGCTCTTAATACAGGGCTGTTGAATGATTTGATAGCAAGGTAAAATTATGGTACTTGCTACTGCTTGACATGCTACATAATTCTGATGTTTGTCACTAGGATCCATGTCTAGACTCACTTCTGGGTTGGGTACAATGTAGTGCTACATCTTTGTTTCTGAATAGAGTAGTTTTTATGCGCTTTCTGGTGGCAGATCTTGTTTAATCTTTCTTTATTTTTCATTCCTAGGTATTCTTTGATTTAATGAGAGAAATCAGAGCAAAGAAAATGTCAGAAAACAAAGACAAGAATGGCAAGAAAAGTGGCAAGAACAAGAAAAGCTTTAAAGAAAGATGTTGCTTACTGTGATGCTTGGAAACTGTAAATATCTATCTACAGGTGGCATGGATAAGATACCACTAAGGATATAGGGCTGGATTCATGAAAGGAAGTCTGTATTGACTCCCTTATCTTTTGCTTTGCATATCACACCTTCAAAATGTGAAAACAGAACTTTAAAACAATGTCTAGTAGCCAACAAAACCTATGCCTACTTAAACTGAAATGGACTCTGTCTTCCCAGTGTCTTTCAAAACTAGAAACAGTTTCAGAACTACAATCCTTCTGCTTGGTTATACAAAGTACTTCCATATTAACTTCCTAGTTTACTCTAATGTTTCTCTGAATATGTTTCTCTTGAACCTCTACTGGCCTTAACAAGCACAGCTGTTCAGGTTCAAACTTTCCCCACCACACTGTTGCTGCCCTCCTTGATGTTGCAAACTACAGAATAGCTAGATGACATCTGGTAAAGGGTTTGAGTCTCCATGTTCCGTTAGTTGTCACTGGTATTTCTTACACTGAAATCTGCTGGCTTCCTCCCCACCCTCCATGTAAGAAATAGCAACTGACACTTGAGAGTCAACTCAAAACAACTTTCTTCCATGTTTAGTCAATACAGTGTTCATGAATCAAGCATATGGACTCAATTCACACTTATTTAGGCAATGCAAAAATTCATATTTAAATACTGGCTAGATGCATTCCCCGCTGGTCTGTCTTCTCATCCTTAAATTAGTGGCATAGGGTGAGAAAATGACTGTAAGCCTTTCTTCAAAGGAAATATTGTCACCATCTCCTTGAAATGTTGTCTTGGGTTTCTTCCATGTATTGTGGCTAGATTCAGTTACACTCACTCTACATCTCATCCTTCCGTTCCTTGGTACTGAAATAGTGAAAATCAAAGCGTTGACTTCATCAGTTTTGTTTATATTGGAACACTTGTGATCATGTTGAAAAGTCTCATCTTGCTGAAGATGAAAACTTTGAGTAATGGTGGGTCACATCACACAATCATGACCTGGAATAGGTGAGGCATACGTGCTACCTCTCAGTGATTAGCTGGCTAGTGAGTTGTATGGTGTCAAAAAACAAATGAAGTTAAGCAGTTGCCACATCTGTTACTCACTGTTAATATGTACTGTTTCTGATGCACAGCAACCTAGCACATGGGGAAGCACATTGAGTTTTGCTGTCAGTCATGCAATGGTGGTCACGTAATGATCAATAAAAAGCAGCCTAGAAATGGTAAAGTCTGTACTTAGCAGGTCCTCTTGTCAGCTGACGGAACTGATCTTTGCAGTCTAAGTGCAGTTGCCAAAAAAAAAAACCCACCCCACAACTTCTCTTACTGTTGTGGAAAGTAACTGTCTCTTCTGACAGTGGCATCTCAAAGAATTATGGCTGCCTTCTGTTTTGAAGGGGTATAGAGACTTCAAGTAGTGACTGTACCTTGCTTGTTAACTGCATGCTTAAAGTGACTTGGTGAAAGGAATATGCTGTGTGGGTCAATGAAGCACACTGCAGCACTAAATTAACAAGTAGTGTTTCTTCTTGAGGTGAAGGAGTAACAAATACCACGCAGTACTTAGTATTGTAATTTGAGGTAAAACATTTCTAACATGTACTAGATTGCTCTTGTGCATTCTGCCTCTGAACTCTGGAGAAAAAAAAGATGTGTTTGATATCGGAACCTCTGTTGGCCTGAGGTTTCACAGGGACTTATCATAAATTCGTTGTCTTCCATAACTAGTTCGACTTGTCAGGCAACTCATTGGATTGGGGAAACTGTACTAAATAAAAGGTGCTGTAATCTTCATTCTTGTCAAGTTAAATTCCTTTGTTAATGTTGTCTGGTATGCACAGAAAGAATGGTTAACCAATTATGGAAATACTTCTCTTTGAACTGTGTAATTAATTGGTATTATAAAGCCAACTTGATAATACAATTTTAGAAGCAGAGGCTGGGATCCTGCTGGCTTGCAGAATTTGTCACTTGAGCTGTATCACTTATGTCTAAAGCCTAAGCACCTAATGGGACACTTGGAGATGTAATGCTTTAAACAAAGTTTCCTCTTGAACTTCAATGGATAAAGTCCATTTTGAGTGCATATTGTGCATACAGCAGGTGAATGTCTGTTTCTAGAGGAAAGCAACTCACTTAGGTCTCAACTAAAAGCAAACCTAAAGGTCAAGTCCTTAATTAACCTTAAGGATCAAAACCTGTTGAGTTCACATTACAAGCTTATCTAGGTCAAGCCCCTGTGAGGCAGATTGTAAAATGTTTCTAACAAAACTGAGTAAGCTTTCCTTGCTGTATGATAATGAACTTGGCAAAGCTCACAATGAGCGGCTCAGCTGCATTGGCTCAAGAGACTTGCATTCCTTGACTTTTTGATCTCCTTAGTCTTAAAGTACCTGACAGTATTTGAAAGGGCAGATGAATTTTTACTCAGAACAGTGAGTCTCCCACTGGTATTCTTACAGTCTATGTGCTGTTCTCTTCCAGGTTTTTTTGTTTGGATTTTTTTTTTTGCTGTTTTTTGAGGGTTTGTTTGTTTTTCTTTTTTTTAAAGCTCCAAAACTGAGGTGGACTTACTTGGAAGAAGGTGCTTGCTGCTTCATGGCTTAGTATTGCATCTCTTCGGTGTTCTGTGCTTGTCACCTTTACCAGAAAGGCTAGTCCTGAAGACTAAATACAGCAGGCTTTTCAGTATTCCTCTTCTGTACTTATGACAAATTTCAGTTTAACTTTCCAGTTAGAGCTGAAGACATGATAAACAAGGCAGCTAGCTTGGCTACGTAATAGTAGGCAACAAGCATTCTGACTTCTACCATGAATGCAATAAAACTGCTCCCCTGGACTGGAATCCTGTTGTCTCCACCTCATATGGTGGAAATGCCTGAAAGTGTGCCCTTCTAAATAGGGGTGTTACGACTGGAGAGTCCTTAAATGACTTCCAGCTGTACTTCAGTGGACATCAATGGACATCAACATCAGGTGAGTTTACTAGAGTGAATAGAAAAATGGCACAGAGAAATGCTTCCTTTGGACTTGAGGGCTTCCTGTGAGCAAACTACGGGAAACTTTGGCTTCCGATCTAAATGAGCACGTGCAGACCAGGTACATCAAATGAGGAGGACTTTGTCAAGAGGGGAGGGGATGTGTGTGGCTGTCTGCAAGCCATGATGTGTAGCTGAGGCAGCTGAAGGCTATGTTAAAGTTGATATATTCTAGCAGCCTTTGCATGGTAGGTAATTAAAGACCAAGACTCCTCTTTGTCAGTATAATGTACTCTTATTAAATCTTTCTGGAGCATGGCTGTAGGCAGGTAACTGGATATTTGAAGCTGGAGGTCATGTAAGACTTGACTCTGCACTTGCACTTAGGCATTCAAATACTGTTCTTGCATAATGGCTTAACAAAGTCAGGGAGCTGTTTTCTGCTATATGCAATCTTCCGTATGTGGCTTAGCTGTGGGTATTCAAGTGCTCCAGTCTTTTCTTCTGGTTTGGGCAAGCTTCTATGAGACAGACTCCCATAGTAAATGGGACCAAGTCATATGAAACAAGTGGGTGAAGTTCCAGGAGTGCAAAGCAGATCTGACTCCTCTTTTTTTCAGGAGAGGATCCCTCCGGATGAGAGTACAGATGCACAAAGTGCTTCTTCAATGGCTTGTGCCGTATGTGTTCAGTACAGACTAATACGCCTTTACTGTCTGTAATTTCTAGGTGAATGCTTGCCTTGATGAAGAGAAATGTGTATGCATACAATTACTGGGCATTAAACTTCAGTAAGATGTTAATAGCCACTTGAAGTTGCAGTTGAATTTTATCTGGGTAATACAATGCTTAGGAACACTTTATGTCTAAGGCACAAATCTACAATCTTGAGTGTAGTGAAAGGTGAGGGGAAATGCATGTAACTAAATGATCATGAGGATTTTTTTTTTAAAGCTTTCTGAAGTATTAACCTAGTACTTGGGGCTGACAGGTCTATCAATTCTTGCTTAAAAAAGAGGATACTGTTTATCAATTCAACTCAGAGCTTATGTAGACAGAAGCTTTCTTTAATTGCTATAAGCATATGTTGCAATGTTCACCTCCTGTTGACTTTATAGTTGGGAGAAGGAGGGAAGAGGAACAAAAAAGCTATGATTTTCACTGTGATCTCCACACTTCATGGGAATGGCAGGTGTTCCTCTTGGGAAGGGAAGGTGTTATCTCTAACACCAAGAAAGAGGTTTAGAGTAGAGGAAGTGATTGTGATTGCAAGATTTAATAAAACTGCCTCTAAACTATGTATGTTATACTATACAATGTAAATTCCTTTTTTTTTCTTACATAGCTTCAGAGCTTTGTCTCTAACTTGCACAAACATTTTTAATGTCTATAAAACTGGTCACTTTTCATTATGCTAATACAATGGATTTGTATTACTATTGATAATAAAAAAACAGGCATAATATTTGTTTGTTATTGATTTTTACAGCATTCTAAAAGCATGTCTTAATCCCAAAATTCTTGAACCAGGCAACTGCTGACTTTCAGTGTCTAGAACCAACCTTTGTATCAGAGCTGTAACATGATTATACTACAGACTGTGGGAAGGGAGGGAAGAGGTGACTGAGGACCCCATCATCAGTTCTCTAGAAATGTTCTGCAGGTGTTTCAGGACTGAACTGATACGGTAGTTTGATTCATCCGTAGTTAATTTCATAGTTAATTTTCCACAGCCTAATTGGATCAGGCAGCTTCCATCAACTGTGTAAGTCACGGTTGCTTTCTTCAGTCAGTCTTGTGGCTCAGATAGCAGAATAAGCAACATTGTGTGGAAATACTGATCCTTGGTCTTCCGAGTGTGCCAGACTCCCTTCTCTGTGTTGGTTTGCCATGAACAAACTGCAGCAGAGAAGCGGGGATGCCTGAGGCAGGATGGCTCAGGATAGACTCACTGCACTGTTACGCCACTTAATTTGGAGTGGCATAGAAACGGGATTCACGGTAAACTGGGTGCAGATTCTGCTGCTGCTGCTGTACAAGTGGAAGCGGAACATCCCCTAGCCTTCTGGCCAAGAATTGCAGCAACTCACATATACCTGTTTATGTAGTGCTTACCTGGTGTTTGCCCTGTGTTTGATTGCCATGGTGGCTTACATGGATCTTTCCAATGAAGTAATTTTGTTTAAAATGTACTGCAGCAGAGAAAGAGTAGCATGGAAAGGGTTGTGTAGGAGGCAGGAGAGGGTTCTGAGCACAGCCGTGTTACATAGCTCTACCCAAAGCCCAGAATGGTACCTTTTTCCCCGAGATGTTCTGTGGATGCTTATGAGGAAGTTGCAGCAGGATGAAACCGGAGGATAATTGCACGAAGATAGCTTCGTGCTTGCCTGTGTTCTACCCCAACCAGAACACTTAACTAGTGTGGTTCTGTGTGCTAAAGGCCCCGAGAATTGCTGCGATGGTACAGGCACCTCTACCTGAGAACTGTTGGCTCCATCTGGTGGCTGTAAGAGTTTCCAAGCTCTACCATGGAGAGGGGCTGTTCTGCACGCTCGGATGAGCATGAGAGTAGCTGCTGTTAATCTGCTATCTG